CTCATCCTCCCCTCCTCGCACCTGGCGCGCGCGTGCGAGAAATCTTCTGTTCTGGAAGAAACTTGGAGCAGCGTGATAAATACATGTGCCTTGGGAGGTCTTGCTTGCGAAAAAACGTTGCGCTCTGCGGTATGTGAAAAAATGTGCGCGCGCGTTGTGGAGCGCAGCACCGGCATGCCGACGTCACGCAGCGAGATGGGTGATGTCCTGCGCGGAGCATCACCAAGATAAATGTCCACGCTGGCTTTTCAAAACACTCACGTTGAAAAAAATCGCCGGGGAAAAACGGAGCTCGGAGCGCGAATGAAATGATGTTCGATCCACGAAACGCACTGTTCTGTCGCTGCGGCAACGAAAGGGAGAGGTCCATGCAACCCCTCGGTGAACGGCTTCCCGTCCAGAGGGCCCCTGGGGGGGCCGAGCCGTCTTGCACAGTCCCTGGGAACGATGCTGAAGATGGGGCCAGCTGTGCATATTTCTGGCGCTGTGGAGCAACGTTGCGTTGTCGGCGTCTTCGTCGTCGTCAGGCCGCGACCCTCCTGCGACCCACGTGGGTCCCCCCCCTCCCCCTCGTCGAACCCGCAGCTGCGGGGGGTGTACGGATTTGCTGGACACGCGCCCTCCACGCGAGCTGCGGTCGTTCTGGTCTCGTGCGGCCAGGTCGCCCTACGGAAGGCTACGCCGACAGTGGTGCGGGGAGACAGCGGGGCGAACGAGCGAATCCTGAGGGCTAGCCAGAATTTGAGAAGGCTTCAAAGAAGGTGGAGCATATTCAAAAAACTTTTGGGATTCATGAGAAGGCTGTTCAGTTTCCGACGAAGCTGAGAAACGCATGGCTGGATTCATGTGTAGTGCAAGTCGTGGGCCCCGACTAGATGCACATGCAAGCGGCCAGCGGCCCATGTGTACCAATCGGTATGCCATACCTGCATTTCACGGTACTTGTTATCATGAAGATGCTCCTGCGACGACACACGAATGGATGCACATGCGGACGGCCACCATTCCATATGTTTCCATCGGTCTGCCACACAAGCGGCTCATGACACTCATGATCATGATGATGTCGCCAGTGTCACTTAATACTTTTGCCCTGGGCAGAGGTCAAGCGGGTCGCGCACGCGTGCACCCGAAGCCTTCCTCTTCCTCCTCCTCATCCTCCTCATCGTTACCCTCCTCATCTCTTCCCCAAAGGATTTCCCCAACGGCTGTGGTAACACATTGCCCAACACATTGCCAAGACTTTGGCACAATGTTTGGCCACATAGACGTTTTCAACGACAGGAGGCTGCGGTGGTTTGCCGTAGGCGTCTTCGATACAATTCAACGTCAGCTAAAGATGCCAGCGTGGATAAGAACATAAATCCCAAGACGGTCCACTCGACAAGAGCGATGATGTTCACGTCCGGAATCCCATGCCAGCCAGACCCAGTACAGTACGACTTGAAGTCTTGGCGTGCCAACACCATAACCTTGTCAAAATAATTCGCCACCGCGCTGTTTCGCGGCTGGTATGCGTGCCTGTGTAGTGTGCGCTCGTGTGTATGACTCTACTTGCTGTGAGCGCGAGCCGCCACTGCCTGACCCGTGGTTGCCACCCCGCTGCGGCGTTGGAGCAGACGCTTGTGCGTGTGCAGCGGCCCGTCGCTTTTCTTCATCAGTCTTGTTCCCCCTCACGAAACAACCACTACGCCCCCCCCCCCCCCCCGAGGACAAAAAACACACACACACACACACACAACGCATCAAGCCAACCATGCGCCCACGCCTTGCTCGACGTCTCCTAAGGCCTGGGCTTCCCGACGCCACCGAAGCCCGAAGCCCAGTGGCGGGGGGGGGCAGGGGCGTGCCATGCATCCGACCCGAACATATAGTATACCCATCTTTTGGTATATCGTCTCCCGAGAGGCGTAGCCAGAAAGCGCCCGCCACGACGCATATACTATAAGATTTCTCGGGGCGCGCGTCGCCCCGGGGGGGGGGCGACGCACACATAGTACTAGTATGTTGGGGTGACGCCGAGCGCAGGCGGCGGCTCTGCGCGACAGCGCGACTGGATTCTCGTGGAAGAACTCGGGCTCCTTGCAGGAGAGCGAAGGGTCGAATCGATGAGTCGGATCGGCGAGTCGGATCCTCGATCGAAGCGAATCGGATCGGCGGAAGCCGGCAGCCGAGTCTGGAAGAGTCGCATCGGCGGACACCGGCAGGCCGGGAGGCCTCCGCTGAGGAGCCGGAGCCCAGAGCGGAGTCCGAAGCGGGATCGAGTCGGACTCGGAGGCCACCGAGGTCGAAGCGGAGGGGCCGAAGCGGGCCCCGTCCTTGTCGAAGCCGGCCGCCAAGAACAGGGGGGCGGCCGAGAAGATCAGGAGGCTCCCGAGGGCGAGGCACGGCTGCGCCGCGTGGACCAGGGGCAGCGGCTCTCGGTAGAGCGGCGGCGCGTCGCGGCGGATGCGCCAGGAGACCAGGAAGTTCGCAATGCCCCAGAAGCAGCCGCCGTAGAAGACGCAGGCGGCGAAGACGAAGTGCAGCCGCACCTGGCAGGAGAAGGAGCGCCACGAGCACGGACAATCGGCGCTCCGCGCGGATGGCTTGGAACCGCGCTGGGCCCCCCTCCCTGGCGCGCGGAGGGCGCCAGGGGCGGCGCCGAAGGCGCCGCTAATGGGGCCCAGCGCGGATCCAAGAAATCCGCGCGGGGCGCCAAAAGTTTATGTCTATGGCGCTTTTTCCTTCTTCGAGCACCACCATCCCCGTGCGGTCCCACGGGAACAGGCCTATGCACGTGGTGCCCCCCGCCACGACAAACCCGGCGAAGAGCAGCAGGTCGTGGAAGTTCAGCCAGGGACCCTCGGCGCGGACGGTCACGAGCAGCCAGCGCTGCGCGCGCGCCAACTGCACGACCCAGGCGGCCTGGAGCAGCCCCTCCAGCAGGTTCCCGCACTCGAAGACCACGCCCATGCCGCCAGATATGCCGAGGTCGGAGACAAAGGGCAGGAAGGCCAGGCAGCCACTCTGGAGCCACATGCCGTAGCACGTGCCCATTGTGCCCACCAGCACGACCGTGGTGAGGGCGAGGAGGCCGCGAACGATGGAGGGCCGCCAGAACCACGCAGGGGCGTGCCTGACGGGCCACAGCTCCATTGCAGCAGCCGCGGCGGTGTCCTCGACCTCCGTGAGCACAGGGCGACAAGCCTCAACGGCCCTCTGCGCCTGCGGTGGGCTGGCTGGCCACTCTGAGGGCCGGGGCCCAAAAAAAAACAATCAAGCAAACCCTACAGTCGGGGATGGACAGACCCCCTTTAGTAAAACGTGGTTTAGTGAAAACGACCTGAGGCCCAAACCTGGCGGGCGCAAGCCTGGACAACAGCGGCCACGGCGCCCCCTCGAGAACCGAAAACGGACAATGCACTAATCGACGTGTCACTGTTGGGAATTCTGTCCACCCCCGATCCAGAGCCCGGAGCAACTGTTTCTGGGCGACTTGGGCTGCCCTTCGAGCCCCCGGAGGGTCTGTTTTGGTTGCTCCTGGACCCCGCAGCCCCCAGACATCCAGCGACTTTTGTGCACGGCGCCGGCCCCTGGAGCACTCGACCCCGTTCCCACGTCATCTGTTCGTTTCGGAACGTGCTCTGACGGCTCCCGGGAGCCGAAAGCAGCTCCTCGAGGCCTGGACTCGCAGGAAAAAGCCCGCCTTGGCTGTTTGCTCACGTCGCCTGGAGGTCCGGGGCGGACTGTCTCATTGCTCGAGTAGGGGATCGACAGCAGAATCGATTGACACCAAAATTAGATGTCTCGTCGAATCTACGGAAAAATACTCAGAGTCTTCAATAGATGCACGAGCACGCTTCGCATTCGTCGTAGCTTCGATGGGGAAAATCAACTTGGGGGTAAATCAATTCTGTAGTCGATCCTCTACTCGAATTGCTCCTGGACCCCATGGTCCTCCCTCGGCCTCCTCTTTCCGCACCTTCCGCGCGGCGGGAGCCGCCACGGCGTGGCAGGTACCGCCACAGCGTGGCCGCGGCTGCCGCCCGGGCCGCCGCTGCGGCCGCAGAGGGCGGTCGCCGCTGCGGCCCGCGGCGGCCGCGGCGCCCACCGCGCGAAGGCGCGGAAGGTGCATGAAGGTCGAGGGTTATGTTGCTCACACCGTACGAAAGGACCACCTCCCGTAAATGATTTCGAACACCCACAAAAGTATCGAAACAAGGCCGAACGAGTATCGCTGGTGATCAAGGCTAAAGTAGGTTGGAGCATCATAAGTCGAGGGCTGACCGCAGTTCTGGGCCTGCAGCCGCGCGCGGATCGCGCCGCCCGCGCCAGGCGGCCCCACCGCGGCCCGGGCGCCGCTAGAGGCGGCCGCTGCCATGGGCGGGGGGGCCCCAGCCGCCGGGGGCGGGCGCCGCGGTACCCTGAGCCCAAAAAGGAGATCGGAGGAAGGTGGCGACGTCGACGTCATGTAGAGACACCCGAATTCACTCAGCACTGACGGGGTACTGGCTTGGATGTGCGCGCCAGCATCAGCGAATATGATAAGGGGTAGCATGGGATTTGGAAGTGCGAACATTCCCCTCGGGGTTGCTCAGAGTTTCTATCCGAAGCTCAACAAGCGAGTGTGTCAACTGGTTCGCGCGACCCACGGCCTTGTTAGGTGGGCGCACACATCGGAACAATCCTCAGATCCATCATGCCTTCACGTACACTGTGACTCACCCTTGAGAAAATAAATGCTGTACATGGGTGGCAGGACTGCTCCTCCTCGTACGCCTCACGCGTCACTCCCACCATTCCTCCCCCGCCGCTTCATCAACACCACCGTGCTAATAGTCGATACCGTCGTTGTCGTAACAGAAATCGACCTCACAATCGTGGCCATAATGGTTATCAGCACGCCACTATCATACCACCACCATCATCACTGCGTCGTCATCACTACCATCACCGTCATCGTCTTTGTCGTCGTCATCGCTCGTCTGGCGGCACTTGGGCGGCACACGAAGGGGGGCCTTGATTGTGATCTCCCCGTCCTCCTCGCCAGTGAACTCGTCGACTAGCAGAAGGTTCAGAGACCTGGCGCTGGGGAGCGGGTTCCTCCTGTTTTTCCATCTCTTCCTTCCTCGTCTGGGCGCTCCTTCTCCCCAACATCCCCTGCCTCCTCCTCGTCCTCCTCTCTTCCTCTTCCTCCTCTTCATCCTCCTTCGCTTGCTCTTACTACTACTACTACTACTACTACTACTACTACTACTACTACTACTACAACTACTACTACTACTAATACTACTACTACTACTACTACTACTACTACTACTACTACTACTACTACTACTACGACTACTACTACTACTACTACTACTACTACTACTACTACTACTACTACTACTACTACTACTACTACTACTACTACTACTACTACTACTACTACTACTACTACTACTACTACTACTTCTACTATTGCTACTACTACTACTACTACTACTACTACTACTACTACTACTACTACTACTACTACTACTACTACCGAAAATCCAAGCCTTCCGCCCAAGAGGCACCCAGGAAGCCCAAAGAGGCGCCCAGGAAGTGCCAAAAGGCCTCCAAGAAACCCCCAAGAGGCCCCCGGGAGGCCGAAAGGACCCCAAGAGACCCCCAAACGCCCCTTAAGAGGCCCCCAACCTGCCTCCAAGACAGCCCCCGAGAGACATCCTACGAGATCCCAACGAACATTCCATAGGTTTCGTATCCACAACCCAGGAACTCGACAGGAACTCGAGGAACTCGAGGCATACAGCCAACATGCCTCAAATGGCACTTCATCGGTACCACTTGAGGTATACCACTGACATGCCTCAAGTGGTACCTTTTCGGTACCAGTTGGGGCATATAACCTATGTACTTTCCAGGGGCCCCCAAGCACCCCCGCCGTAATACTGTCCAATCTCACGACGTTGTCGATGCTTTTCCCCAGCATCAAGGGGGCGAATGTACCCCCAGCCCACCAGGGAAGGAGCCGCCAGGAGACGACCTGGTGATCACCCCCCGAAACTTCCGTGCTGGCCGTCGCCTCGGGAAGCGGGAGCTGAGGCAGAAACGGCCGCGCACGGGCCGTATGTGAATCCCTCGCCGCAGCTACGCGCGCGTCGCGGTGCGAAGCAGGGGGGGCGGGAGGGCGATTGCGCGTTCTGCGACGCGGCCTGCGCCCTGTGAGGCGTCCTGCCACGAGACGGCAGGAAACTGCGAAGCAGGGCGCCATGTGAGGCGCCCTGCGACGCAATGCGCCCTGCGCGGCGCCCTGCCAACGGACGGCAGGCACTCGGCCCCGCGGGGACGTGACCCCCCGAGCCTTAGCCCAGCGGCACAGTAGGCGCCGACGAAGCCGGGTAAGGCCGCCTGCGGACCATTGCCAGCACAGTAGGCACTGGCAATGCTGATCGTGCCCCTGATGTCCGAAGCATCTGCGCCTCTAGATCGCCCATTATCCGAAAAGCTTCGCCTTCCTTCTAATAGGATCAATCTCACGACGTTGTCGATGCTTTTCCCCAGCATCAAGGGGGCGAATGTACCCCCAGCCCACCAGGGAAGGAGCCGCCAGGAGACGACCTGGTGATCACCCCTCGAAGCAGGCCCCCTTGAGGCGGTGTTCCGCGAAGCGGTGTGTGTTGGGAGCCGGCGGTATTTTTTCCTTGCGGGCCTCCGAGCGAGCGCACGGAGGCCGTCTTCTCTCGCAAGCGTTTGGTCGGCCGGTCCGTCGTCTGCTCTGCAGAAGAGGCTGCCAGGCTATCGACGAAACGCTGCATTAGCGTATCTGGGGATGTGTCGGCGTACGTATGACGCATGACGTCCTCCGAATTCCACCCACCTTGCCGTTGGACCACGTGCGGGGGGATCTTTGCTACGTGCGTGAACCATTCTGTTCCGCCTCTGCGAAACGAATGCGTGCTAGCGGCTGGGTCCTTAAAGTGTGACGAAACCGCCTTGCGCCACGAATCCGCGCTAACAGGCTGGAGTTGGGAACCTGTCGTGGTGCAGAATAGGGAAGGCACGTGAGCTGCCGTCGCGGCTTTCCAATCCATCCAATCTTGCAGGAATTTCGCCGGGGATAGCCCAGCAATAACCTTGAACGGAATGAAACACCATTGGCCTTTGCCACACGGGTCGTTCTTCTGTTTCCTGATGAAACAACACGCGCACGAGGCTTTAAAATGCACGTCCTGAACGCGGAGGTTGATCGCCTCCGAAACGCGGCGCAAGCCGAAAAAGCAAAACGACGCGAAAGCTGCATCCCTCCGCCCAGCCGGCGTGCCTGTTGCCGCCCTGGCCGTGCAAAACAGCGCCCACTCTTCAACACTAATCGCACGTTTTTGGTGCGATGCGTGGGATGCTCTCTTTTTCAGGCCTCGCCAAAAATGCAAAGCCCGATCGTCCCAGCAATCGTCGAAGACCTGGCTGTAGTTGTTGCTCTGGTGCCACGCTCTGACGGCTGCTTTGTTGAGGCGTATGGTTTGCCATGCCATGCCGTCCATGCTGGCGAACAGGAGCATGAGCTTATCCGGGGAATCCAACGGGAGGATGTTGGAATCGACCTGCTGTTCGAAGCCGTGAACGTGCACGGTGGCGGGATGGGCCGAAGGCCGCCGCCGCCCCCTTTTGATTTATCAAAAGGGTGCCCGGCGTGCCAAACTAGATGGCTTTTGATTTTGGTTCTTTTTCCTAAAGAACTCCCCCTGGGGCTTCGGCCCGTCCCGCCGGCCACCCGGAAAATCCCCAAAACGCGTCCGTCGTGCCTCTGTTTCCTCCAGTTGGCCCAAGATGGCGTCCAAGACGGCCAAGATGGCCCAGGATGGTCTCCAAGACGTCTCCAAGACGGCCCAAGATGGCCTCCAAGACGGCTAAGATGGCCCCAAGATACCTCCAAGACGGCCCAAGATGGCCTCAAGATGGTCTACGACGGCCCAACAGGCCGGCAAGAGGCCTCCAAGACGGCCCAAGAGCCCTCCAAGACGTCCTGCAGGAAGGCCCCAAAAGGGCCAAAATCATTAACGTTCCTTAGGTTTTTGAAAGATTTTGGCATTTGCGCCTTTTCGGCTTTCCGACGGCCCAAGACGGCCCAAGAGGCCCCTAAGATCGCCCAAGAGGCCCCCAAAAGGGCCACATGACGGCTCAAGTGGCCTCCAAGACGGCCCCAAGAGGGCCCCAAGACGGCCCAAGAGGCCTCCAAGACGCCCAAGATGGCCTCCAAGACGCCCAAGATGGCCTCCAAGACGGCCCCGAAGCGCCCCAAGAGGGCCCCAAGTCGGCCCAGAAAGGCCCCAAGACGGCTCCCGACGGCGTCAAACGTGCCAGGAACCCACCAAGATGAACGAAGTTGGCTCGAAGCTGGCCCAAGACGGCCCAAGAGGCCTCCAAGACGCTCAAGATGGCCTCCAAGACGGCCCAAGAGCCCTCCAAGACGTCCCGCAAGAAGGCCCGAAAGGGTCAGAATGGCCTCCAGGCGGCCAAGATGACCTTCAAGATGCCCACGTGTTCCCCGAAGGCTTTCCAAACCGATTCGGGGAACACATGGTCCGATAGCTTGGCAGGTCTGGCCTCAACGTTCGGCCACATAGGCGCTTCCAAAAGGGCAGGGGGCGGCGATGATTCGCCGTAGGCGTCTTCGATCCGCCGCCCCCTGTTGGCTTGCCACAGGGGCGCCCGGCGTGCTAAACTATTACGGTTTTGGTTTTGGTTCTTTTTCCAAAAGAACTCCCCCTGGGGCTTCGGCCCGTCCCGCCGGCCACCCGAAAAGGAGCACAATTCCCTAATTGTTCGCTCAAAATGGCACAAGATGGCCCCCAAGATGGCCACGTTGGCCCAAGAGATGGTCCAAGATGGCTTCCAAGTCCGCCCAAGATGGTCCAAGACGGCCTCCAAGACGGCCCAAGAGAGTCCAAGATACCTCCACGTTCGCCCAAGAGGCCTCCAAGACGGCCCAAGACGACCCAAGAGGCCTCGAAGAGGTCCTCAAGGAGGGCCCGAAGAGGCCAAAATTATAATTATCCCTAGGGTTTTGAAGGATTTTGAGATTCAGACGGCCCAAGAGCCCCCCAAGATCGCCTCAAGATCGCCCACGAGGCCTCCGAGATGGCCCCATGACGGCCCAAGAGGCCCCCAAGACGGCCCCCAGAGGGCCCCAAGATGGCCCAAGAGGCCTCCAACACGCCCAAGATGGCCTCTAAGACGGCCCCGAAGCACCCCAAGAGGGCCCCAAGTCGGCCCAGAGAGGCCCAAAAACGGCTTCCGACGGCGTCAGACAGGCCAGGAGCCCACCAAGATGGCCGAAGTTGGCTCTAGGCTAGCCCAAGACGGCCCAAGAGGCCTCCAAGAGGGCCCCCAAGAGGGCTCGAAGAGGCCAGAATCATTGGTTTTCCTCCGGCTTTTGAAAGTTTTTGACATTTGCTTCTTTTCGGCATTCCGAAGGCCCGACACGGCCCAAGAGCCCCCAAAGATCGCCCCAAGATCGCCCAAGAGGCCTCCAAGATGGCCCCAGAACGGCCCACGAGGCCCCCAAGACGGCCCTAAGAGGCCCCCAAGACGGCCCAGGCGGCCTTTAAGATGCCCAAGATGGCCTCTAAGACGGCCCCGAAGCACCCCAAGAGGGCCCCAAGTCGGCCCAGAGAGCCCCCCCAAACGACTCCCGAGGGCATCAGACGGGTCAGGAGCCCACCAGGACGGCCGAAGATGGCCCTAAGATGGACCAAGACGGCCCAAGAGGCCTCCAAGAGGCCTCCAGAAGGCCCGAAAAGGCAAAAATCATTGATTCCCGATGAGTTTTTGAAGAATTTTGGCATTTGCTTTTTGGTCAGTCTTCCGACGGCCCGGCTCCAGAACGGCCCACAAGGCCCCCAAGACGGCCCCAAGAGGCCCCCAAGACGGCCCAGGAGGCCTTTAAGACGCCCAAGATGGCCTCCAAGACGGCCCAGGAGCATTCCAAGAGGGCCCCAAGTCGGCCCAGAGAGGCACCCCGAACGGCTTCCGACGTCGTCAGACGCCAGGAGCCCACCAAGACGGCCGAAGATGGCCCTGAGATGGCCCAAGAT